TAGTTCATAAACCTGTGTATAAACCTTATGTACCTAGTCTATTCATTATACATACTCAACTTTATGTGAATACATTCTGGTATATCGTTAACGGACTCGGTGGTCTAGCGGTTTAGCACACCGCTTTCTTCCGATGGTCGCGGGTTTGATTCCTCGCAAGGTGCAATCATTTGTATTCATCTGGGTGTTTTAATTAATAAATAACCCTGGACAATTAACACAACGCCATAGTCCCACGGTAAGCAGAGCTTGTGTTATGGCTACTAGATAAGTGACATAAATATTAACATGTAATAGTACATTGCTAGTAAGTCCAAATTACTAACAGTCCACTTTTCGTCGACACCAAACTATTACAATAAATGTATTGTTTATATTAGGGGTTCTGTGCTATTGTCAGATGCTAAAACCTGTGACACTGCGACCTGCATAGATCTATTATGCTCGGCCTTTTTTAAAGTTCACTACCTAGACCCGTCAGGGACAAGAATTGAAGGATATTCTTCTTGGGAGTGATGGTTTTTATCTCCTCAGGATAGATATATACTTTCCGAAGGAGATATTTCGTTTAAGCATAAGTGGGCTACAACCACATGGGATGTGAAGTGGCGTTTTCTCTTCCACTTGTCAAAATCTACTTGCAAAAATATGTATTGTTACTATTACGTTTATAATTTGCAATATACGTACAAACATATCTTAATATCATTAGAAACGCAAAAGTTTGTGAGTTGAGATGGATATTATATTACGCAAAAACTACTGAACAGATTTTAATGAAACTTTACAGTGATATACGTCAGAATAACACATAGGCTATAAATTTACGCTAATAATATATACCAATAAAAATTCAACACGTGGAAAACTTCGGTACACATATTAAATATGGAGCGCCATTGACGCTTGTACTAACCAAAGTCGTAACCGAATATCCCAAATAGTACCCTCTCGTTATTTTCCAATTCTTGTAAAAGCCAATCAGACGTAACGGGGCCCTCGAGCGCATGTCAATAAAGCTTATAACGGGAGATACGGATCGCTCGGGAGACGCGAAATGTGTTTTTTACCAGGATTCCGTACCTCAAAAGGTAAAAGGACGCTTACGAGATCAGCGTGTTATCCGCGCCCTGTTGCGGGTTAAGTCTAAAGACGAGATAATAGATTATTATGAGAGTAAGCCACGATTACATTAAATAAAATATTACTTACTTAATCGATGTAAATGATTTCGTTTAATTCCACTATAATGGGCATGTCGCACATCTGTAAAAAGGCCGCAACTACACTTGCGTCAAAAATGTTTTATTACATAAATAAAGCGAGCTTCACGGTTTACACCTTCAGTCAAAATCTCATGAAGCTATCGACAAAAATGAAGGAATAAATGCAAAAATACTAAAATTTTGCGACTTTAGAAAACATAAAATTCCAGCATAAAATAGAGGTATGCGTATTTGCATTTATTCGCTTTACAATTATCCCGTTCATAAAGTCATAATTGTATTTACGTAAATTTTAAAAGAAGATTTACAAAAAAATGTTTAACGCAAATATACTTAAATACTTGTTCCTATATCTTACAATCTAGGACTATTGTGTAATTCTAATTACTTACTACTTCTACGAAACTTTTAGCTGATAGTTTATGTGTGATTATTGTTACATACTATCCCCCAGCAAAACTTCACAATGCGTAAAGTGTAGTTGTAGTTACTTCTTTATTACACGTAACATTTCATACCTGATGTTGGGTAATTTTAAATACAGCATGTATTTACAATAAAAAAAAATAAGAATATGTTCATGTAATTAAAATTAAGTAAAAAAATAAACTATTTTTAGCTAATTGTATAAGCTGACGGGCACCAATGATGGATGATAGGAGGAGCAGGAGATTAGATGAATTTGCCAGGAATAGTAATAATAAATGATAGAAAAATCGATCTGCTTTTAGACATTTATCATAGAAGAGCGAATTGATAGAAGTGTATATAAAAACAATAGATAAAAAGAATACTTCTACTTTAAATATGGATAAACGAATATACAATTGCCAGTGAATCTTATTGTAGGTCTAACAGGAATTAACTAACGATGGTTTCCAGGATGGACCGCGTGGAACTAAATGTACCTTATATTGCTAGCAATAATATTCAATATTAATTCCCACTGCCCATAATAGGTACACATACAATACTAGCTGGTCCCGCAAACGTTACTTTGTTATAAATTACTAGCTGTGCCCGCGTTAAATTTCAATAAAAAATATATCCTGTGTTATTCAGATGCATAAGCTATATTAGTGTAAAGTTTCGTAAAAATCTATTCAGTAGTTTTTGCGTGAAAGAGCAACAAAGATCCATACTTACAAACTTTCACGTTTAGAATATTATATTAAGATTAAGATTTCTGAAAACTATTAAAGTACTAATCATCATAATTTCAACTTGTGTCTATCCACAGTTGGATATAGGCCTGTCCCAATTTGGCTTTGGTGGTCTAGCGGTTAAGCACACCGATTTACTTCCAATGGTCGCGGGTTCGATTCCTCGGACGGTGCAGATATTTGTATTCATGAGTAAGATTGTTTGTGTGGGTCTGGGTGTTTTCTATGTATATGTTTCATGTTACATACATGAAACATATACATAGAAAACTCCAAAAAATCGAAGTATTTATTGATATAAAGCTCTTCATACCGTGTGACTAGAAGGCGCTGTTAATTGTTGAGTATTATTTATTTATTTCCCAATTTCTTACACCATGTGCGATCTTCCGCCTTTTGTTTCCATCGACTCCCGGTCACCTTCGTGATATCTTCGGTTCATCTTGCAGGAAAACTTATATTAGAACTAATATCGCTATTAAAATGTAGGAGTTGATGGTAGAAGGAGGAAATGTAGGAGTTCGATGTATGTATTATTATGATTTTTTTATGATTCAGTTAACGATGAAGGTGGTCCAAATCGAGAAGGTTGTCGATAACATACTAATAGATCAATCAAAATAAGAAGTAAACCTAAAATGTCATTGATCGCATTATCTCCGCAATCTAACAATGATAAATTCTAGATGAAAAGCATAATTGCGCTAAAATGCATCGTTTATACTTATAGTGCATTAAGAAAAACCCAGATTATGAAAATGTTACTCCAGCCTCTCAGAGATGGTACTATAATATTAGGTCCTTACATATGAAATTGGTGTTTTGTCGTACTGGCCACTTTGATCTCAAATATCTCCTCTTTCGCCAGGAATTCAAAGTTCAAATTTGTACAGTTATTTACTCATGCATTTGTTTTTCGAAAACCTCTCCATATGTTTTTTCCATCTTTGGTTTTTTCTTTACGTCACTGTGTTTACAAATTGGAAAACATAAAATATCACGTTTTTTAAGATTACGAATTCCGTCGTGGCACTAGTGTGCAGAAACGACTCGAAGAATTAATGATGTGTATGGCGATGGTGTCGCAAAAGAAAACACAGTGCGTTTTTGGTTCCAATGTTTTCGTTCTGGAAATTTCGATCTGCAAAACAAGCCCCGTGAGCAGCCAGAGTCCAAGGTTGATAATGAAGAATTAAAGGCTAATGTGGAAGCGGATCCATCGCTAACCACGTCCGAGTTAACTGCAGGCTGCAGTGTTAGTAACAAAACTGTTTTAATCCACTTGAGGCAAATTGGGAAAAAAAAGCTTGAAAAGGTCATGAATTGAATGGAGCAAATCGACAAACGCGCGTAGACTGCTGCGTTATTAGCCAACTGGCATAATAATGAAGGGATTTTAAATCGGATCATTACCTGTTATGAAAAGTGGATCTTGTACGATAAACGGAAACACTCATCGCAATGGCTGAATCCTAGCAAACTAACCAAATCCTGCCCCAAGCGAAAATTCAAACTCAAAAAAAGTTACTTGTGAGCACTTAGTGGACTAGTGCCTGTGTTGTTCACTTCAGCTTTCTTATATCTGGCCAGAATATTACGGCAGATGTGTATTGTCAGCAATTGCAAACCATGATGGAAAAGCTAGCTGCTAAACAACCGAGACTGGTCAATCACCGTAGGCCATGCTGCTTCAGGACAACGTTACGAAATTAGAAGAGCTTCAAATGTCCAATATATCCACCGTACTTCCCGGATCTTGCTTTTTTTCAAAATTTGGATAACTTCTTGCAAGGGAAAAAATTCAAGTCCGATTTATCGATACCCGTCCTAATGGTTTTTTTAGTAAAGGGATCAATAAAACTACCTATCAAATGGCAAAAGTGCATGAATAGCAATGGACCATATTTTGATTAAATAAATGTATTATATTTTGAAAAATCAACTGAAATTGGCGTTTTGTAAGGGAGTAATTAGGTTACTCCCTTACAAATTTCATATATTAGGACCTAATATATTTACTACACGAGTTGGAGTAAAATTAAAGAGATTTCGGCAGATAATCAATGTCCGGGGAAATTCCAAATAAAATACGCATTCGCTGATGAGACACCAAATAATAGACAAATAGAAGGGGAAGAGTTATGAGAAAAAAAGAGCTGCACACAGCGAGCCTTCTGAAATCAAGCATTAGTATGATGCACCGCTACCGATACCTAAAATATATACAAAGACTTCATGAATCTATATAAAGATAAAAACATACCACCACACTATCAGACGTTTTATAAGAACTTAAGTACTAAATCTAAGACTAAACTAAACTAAACCATAGAGTCCGATTCCAAAGTTGAGGATAATGAACATTAATAAAAATAATAAAAATATCACTATTTTGTGTAATGTTCGTATCCGTATGTATGAGGTGTAATAAAACCAAGCTTATCCGTCAAGCGTATATTCCGGACTGGCTCCCATCTCACATATCGCCTTAAAAGTACCCGCCACCTAATTATATTTTATATACCCTATATTACACTCTTCCACACCAATTAACACTTACTCTAATTTATACTACTTAATTAACAATTATAATTTGACATGGTTACTTATACTAAAACTTAATACTATCTAGATTCTTAATTCTACATAATCTCTTTGGGCGGACTCGGGGCGGCGGTGGTGCATTCGTACTAGGCAATACCATATCTGGACAGGCGTCCAGATACTCCGGTGACTTCGGAATTTCTGTTGCATCCATTTCTACCGTTTCCACGTTTATCGGCGTTAAATCTGACCGTTCTGCCACCGCCTGTTCCGGCTGAATCCCGCCCGGTGACCGATCTGTCATCGGTGGTTCTGAGTTAGAATTTGCACTGATTCTTTTATCTATTTCCTTCAACGGGTAAGATGATAGGGAAATTCTAGAGGATCTCTTTTTTAATTGATCCATATGTCTATGAATCACATCACCTTCTCGGTTCCTTACTTTGTAATTGTTCGGACCTAAACAATCGATAACTTGACCCGGGGCCCACTTCTCACCCCTCATGAATTGCCTATACCATACCTCATCGTCTACCTGCATCTTTCTACTTGTCCCCTTAAATGATTCTCTTTGTTTCTGCTGAGCTTTGTAAACTTTACTCTCCCTATCTGGTTTTATAACATCTAATCTAGTGCGTAGTCGACGGCCTAATAGTATACCGCTGGGCATTCCCCGGTTGTCGAATGTTCGGTATTTCTATAGTATAACAAATACGTCCAAAGTGCTTTATTTATGTTTTGTTTCTCTACAACCGCCTTTTTAATTACTTTTTTAATGTTTTAACTGCGTTTTCGGCTAATCCATTTGAGGCCGGGTGGTATGGAGCCGTAAAAATATGTTCAATCCCCTGACTACTAGTAAAATTTTTAAATTCTGAGCTTGTAAAGGGTGGTCCATTATCCGTGACAATTTGTTTAGGCAGTCCGAACCTACTAAATAGTTCACTAACTTTATCTATTACTCCCGTTGCCGCCGTGCTCGATACCCTAATTATTTCCATCCATTTAGATGTTGCATCTACTACCACTAAATATGTTTGCCCTAACATAGGGCCCATGAAATCTAGGTGCAGTCTGGACCACGGCTTATTAGGCCACGGCGACATGCGAGGTACTTGTCTCGGTGGCGCGTCTGCATTCGCAGCGCATACCTCGCACTGTTTACATATTCGTTCCACCGCTTCATCCAGGCCCGCCCACCACACAGCTGCGGGCTAAGGACTTGGATTTGACCATCCCCATGTGGGGTTCATGAATCATTAATAATATTTTCTCTTTACAAGAATCTGGCACCACCAGTCTATGCCCCCACATAACGCAACCTAATTCCTCGTATAATTCATTTTTACGATTATAATAAGGTTTCAAATTCGTCATCGCGCAATCTATTGGCCAGCCGTCTCGTATATAACTTAATATTTTTGATAGTATGGGGTCCCTAGAGGTTTGATTTTTAATTTCATTGTAATCTAATAGCAGAGCTTGCTGCACAAAATGTAAATATGTTTGCTCGGGCGTCATTCGAGTCATTGGTTTACTAGCTGATATCGGCAACCGTGACAAGCCGTCCGCCCCGTTCTCGTCTGTGCGTACGTATTCTATATCAAATGTGTAGGCAGATAAAATTATCGCCCACCGTTGCATACGGCTGGCTACCATAGTCGGTATCCCCGTATGTGGCCCAAAAATCGATACCAAAGGCTTATGGTCGGTACGCAATACGAAATGTCGGCCGTACAAATATTGATGAAATTTATTAACAGAAAATATAATAGCTAAGGCTTCCCTATGGATCTGTGAGTAATTCTTCTCCGCGTCATTCAGTGTACGCGAACACAAGCTATCGGTCGCTCGCCGCGTCCGTCCTCCCTCGGTTGTGAGAGTACGGCCCCCACGCCCCTCGCGCTCGCATCGCATGTGACTACTAGCGGTCGCTTCGGGTCGTAGTGCGCTAATACCTCAGCGCTAACTAATAAATTCTTTACTTCTATAAAGGCTCGTTCACATTCCCTCGACCAATACCACGATTTATGTTTTTTTAATAAATCGTATAAAGGTACCAATCTAGAACTCATATTCCTTACAAATTTGGCGTAAAAATTAATTAATCCTAAAAAGGAACGTAATTCGGTCACACACTCTGGGCGTGGTATTTTTGTGATAGCCTGGATTTTATCCGGGTCCGTTTTTATTCCGTCCTTGCTCAATACAAATCCTAAATAACTTACTTCTTTCACTAAAAAAACACATTTACTCGTTTTTAATTTAAAACCATATTTATCTAATCTACTAAAAACTGCCTCCACTGCCTGTAGGTGCTCAGCTCTATTCCTACCACCTATGAGAACATCGTCTAAGAATATCTCGACGTTGGGAATATCACTCAGTAAACTACACATAATGCGTTGAAAAATGCCTGCGCTCGACGCTAACCCATATACTAACCTATTATACCGGTATAACCCGCGATGTGTGTTTATAACTGTATACATTTTGGTCTCATCCAGCTCGATCTGGTTATACGCCTGCGATAAATCAATTTTTGAATAAAATTGGGATCCGCTTAATCGAACAATTAAATCCTCTATTCTTGGTAAAGGATAACGATCTACAAGTAACACAGGATTTACGGTTGCTTTATAATCAGCGCATATTCTCAAAGAACCATCCGATTTATTTACCGGCACCAATGGCGAGGCCCAGTCGGAGCAGTCGACGGGCTCGATGACACCGTCGCGCAGCATCGCGTCGAGCTCTGCATCGACCCGCTCGCGCAGCGCGTACGGCAACGGTCGCGCGCGGTGGAACACCGGCGCCACGCCATCGCGCACCCTCAACGTAGCCTTGCCGCCCGTGTACCGCCCCAGTCCGCCACTGAACAGCTTCTCATATCTGTTAAACAGTTTTTTAAACTCATGATCTAACCGAAGGTGCTCGTTACTTATTTTATTACAATTAGTGAATTTAGGTATCACTATGCCCAACTCTGTCAGCCATTGCCTACCTAATAATGAGATTGAAGCTCCTTCGATAACAAATAATTCCAATATTTTTTTTTTATTATTATAAAACACATTTACTTCTATTATACCTAAAGGCTTAACGGATGAGCCATCGTAAAAATTTAATCCAATATTACTCGGTTTTATTTTAATATAATCAAAATACTGTCTATATGTTTCCCCACTAATACAAGACACCGCGGTACCGGTATCGATTTCCATATTTACAATTTTATCTTCAATAGATATCGGTATACTCACAGCCTTGTAGTCGTTTAGACATAAATGATGCAAGTCCTCCTGCATCGAATCGGTCGTTTCCCAGCCCTCCTCCGCTGTATCTCCATAGTGCAAGGCCGCATAGCCATATCGCTGGTTTTGTGTGCTCTGCCTCGGACACACCCGTCGCAAGTGACCGGTGCGGTGGCACTTACTGCAAACGTATTCTCGAAAGCGACAGTTTTCATAATTAAACCGCATCCAATGCAGTCGCGCCTTTTTCCGCTGTCTGCCCGTGCCGCATTTCTTCCCCGAGGCGTGATAGTGGCGCGCGCGCCGCGCGCTCCACTCCAGACAGCGCCCGTGCCACGAATACGGTATCCGCGCGCCCCGCGCCCGCTCCGTGTCTCCGCCGCTTGCCGTCGCTCGTTCGTGGCCACTAGGGAGTGTATTCCCCCCGTCCCCGCGATCGTTTCCCCGCCGCTCGCCGCGTCCGCGATATCCACCGCCGCCGCGTTCCGCTCCGCTGCCTCTAAAGAGGTTGCAATTTTGACCGCGTGGGCGAAATTTAGTTCTTCATCCTCTGCAAAAAGCCGCTGTCGAATGATGTCGCTCTTCAGCCCACACACGAACTGATCTCGAAGGTTCTCACTTAGGTTATCCCCTAGTTTGCAATGACGTGTTAACTTTTTCAATTCCGCCACGTAACTTGCGATGTTCTCATCTGCTGCTTGTCTTCTCTGCCTGAATCGAAATCTCTCTGCTAATGCCGACGGTGCCGGTTGTAGGTGATCGCGCAGTAGGTTGACCGCAACTTCGTATTCCAATTCCGACGGTTTCCTTGGACTAGCTAAATTCACCAGGAGTTCGTAAGCTTCATCCCCTATGACTGCTATTAATGTTGGTAGTTTGAGATCGTTTTTTACACTGTTGGCCGTAAAATACATCTCAAGTCTTTCTATATATGACGACCACGCCCCAGTTCTAATATCGAACTCGCTTACTCTTCCGATCGACATTGTAGTTATTTTTTCTTTTTTTTTTTTTCACTCAACTTTTTATACACTATTATTACTTGTAAATTATAATAAAAATTAAGAATCCTCGTCGTCCACTGTAATGTTCGTATCCGTATGTATGAGGTGTAATAAAACCAAGCTTATCCGTCAAGCGTATATTCCGGACTGGCTCCCATCTCACATATCGCCTTAAAAGTACCCGCCACCTAATTATATCTTATATACCCTATATTACATTTTGAACATTTTTTGATTAAGTTGATTATGGAGGCAATAAACATTTCTTTAAAAATAATAATAAATTAATAATAACCCTGTTTGTTTTCATATTCTCTAAATTAATTTGCCCCTATATTTATACTTTTGACTTACATGCACGCACATAATAGACTATTTACTGTAAGAAGTAGGCATTACATGATACAAATTAAATATTCAGTTACTTTCCGCATTATAAAAGCTATTTTTATAAATACACTAACTAAACTAAAATAAATGGCTCCCTAGAAATACGTAACTCGATGTACAAAAAATGATATTTCGTTAAATAACAACGTAATTATACTTGCAATTCTAGATTTTAATGAAATATAGGAGAGTATAAAGGCGTAAGTAGAGTTAAATTTGTTCATATATTTCAAAATACATAACAATAAAGCAATAATTGTAGTTACCCCTGCAAATGTTCTTTGTGTTTCGTGGAATATAGAAGTAACCGTGTTTTTTTAGATTATCTGGAAGTACATGAAGCTGTTCCTAAATTAAATGACACATGTAGTTGAAGGCAACTGTGACCTACGATTTTCTCTTTGAAACTTATTTCTAGAACTCATACAAAAAATATAGGACAGCACACTGAAAAGTTGGTGAAAATCATACTTCCTTTTTCCACGAATGGTGCGATGTGTGAGCGATGTGTGAGCAGTGGAGTAGTTAGGTAACCGAGGGCGTTGGGGCAAATCAAAAAATAGGGCCCCACTGCTCAGCAGTAGAGCTCTACATTACTGTATTATTAAGACGCATATATACCGCTATCCGTCAAATTGACAACACTGCCAATCCACAGAAAGAATTTAGGGGAATTCCGAAGGGATGACTTTCGAATTTTTCTCAACTGAGTTGCCAGGATTTATGTCGGGTTGCAACCTGTCATATTTATTTTGAATATGGCAATTTTCAAAAGTTCAGTTCGATCGAGATTTTCTGCTAAGGGTTCAAGGGCCACCTGAGCTTGAGGGTCCCGGGGCACTGCCCCGCCTAGCCCCTAGGTAGCTATGCCACTGTGTATGAGACCACAACTATTTTAATCCACACTCACACTGCGTATTACGTACATATCTCGCAGTTTGCCGAGACATTGAATAAAAATAAATATATGTACCTATCTTCAATAAATAAATAAATAATGTAATTATCAATTCTCAAAAGCTAGTAAAACCAGACGGGATAGTGTTAAAAAAATTACGTGCATGAGTAGAAAAAGTTTCCTATATGAATTATTGATTCTGAGTTTAAGTAAAAATAGAATTATATCTATAACGTTTTATTAGATATAAGCTCAGGAGACGTATAGATTAATTTTTGTTGATAATACCTCTTTTCTTTTTTTTTATATTTTAATTTACGGAGTACTAAAGTATCCGTACCCTGTAATTTCACTGCTATATACCCTTTAATAGTTATTACTGCGTATAAAGCTAGCTAGGCAGCATACATAGGTGAGATGTTGTCATTTAACGACTGATTAATCAGTTGCAAATGTATATCATTTAAACAGGATCGTAATAAGAATATGTGGGAAGTAAGTTCACAATCAAATATACTTCTATGTTGCTAACGTATATAGTTCACTAACTGATCCGCGTGGCTTTACCTGCGCCACGTTTTTCCCGTTTTATGCAACATTTTTTAGTGCTGCTCCAATCCTGTTAATCGTAGCCTAATGGTATATAGCCTATAACTTTCCTCTAGAAATGGGCTATTCAATTTATTTTTAAATAGATTCAGTAAGTCCAAAAATTATCCTCTACAACTTTACAAACATTGCCTCTTTGTAATATTAGTATAGATTATAATTTAATATTCAAAAAGAGAATAAATATAACGAGATCATAGGATACTCAAAATGTCAATATGTTGGTACTGAACTTTCATTGGTTAACATCCCACGCCTAAAGTAGACTCAAATCTACGTACCTACCAGCTTGTTCCAAATTTAAATTGGTAACGAACGTGTTTTACAATTCAAATAACCGACCGGGGAACTTGCCACCAGCAAAAAGGTGAAAACTGTAATAAAATATACCAAAGTTGATGCCCCTTAAGTTGACTTTTAATACCTCTTAAATAAACGAACTTTTAGTATTCGCCATCACTGATCTTTGTGAGTCTCTCGGGTGTTTAATAGTAATTGTTTCCG